CAACAAGTTTATTTATAAGCCCATATAAACACATGGTCAGGTAAACATGAATAATGAATAGCATAAACAGTAATCATTAGTGAGCATCTTCATCATCAGTATCATCAGTGTTCATCATCTATTCCATAAGGGTCCAAGGCCGCTCGTAATCGTGAGCACGGCTGATATACCAGTTTTACATTCTGCACAGGTTGTACACTTTCACTATGAGTCGTGATTTACCCTTTCGCCCGAGGTGATCAGCCTCTTGACCCACTACCAAGAAAGGTCGGCAGGGTTCACTATGAAGTCTTTCAAAGGTTCGTCTAACAAATTAGGGCCGCTAGGTTTTCCCATCAATAAGCATGAACTCCCCTCCAAGGAGTGACTGACAAAAGACCAAGAAACAAAAATGCACTCAACCTGGCAGGCAAAGGTCATACCTGTCGGAGCCCCTCTTGCGCCATAAAGGTAAGCACTAACAAGCTATAAAAGGTCCTCATACTGAGCTAAAGCCAGAGCCATGTAGTCCTCACAGCTGTACTATAAATCCCGGATGTTCACTTACAGATAAGTCCTTAGGAAGAGGAATCTAGAGCACCATAAAAATAGCCCAATGCTCTAGCCCCTTGTTTCATGTTTCTAAAAAGCATCTTTTAGTGTTTATTGCATATTCCATTAGTCAAGTTACAAGATCATGGTTGTAGTTGAGCATTAGCATCATGCTACCCAATGCAATACCCCATAGGTATCAAGGCACAAGGTACAAAGAACTAAAAAATCCTTAGTGGTAATTAAGGTAGACACATGCAGTATGAATTAAATGATTAGAGGTGTATCGGACAACAAGGATGATCCCATGCTATACTTGCCTTAAACTCATATCCTTCTTCTATTGAATTGTAACCTCCAAAAGACTTTTTCTGGAACACCAACTTCTTCTATTTCACAAACGTACTTCTCACCGACTGGACATGATCATAAAGAACCACACAAGCATCCATGCAATCATACACGAAGCAAATAATTGAACTAAATTAGAACAGTACACCAAACAGATGAAACAGCAAGTCAAAAGGTTTTAAAGATGTTGTACACGTTACTATGAACACACAGACGTGAAAAAGCACTCTAATCGGACCTATAACGAAGAAGTTATGAATTAAACAAGATTTCCTTTAATAAAATAATAAATTAAACCCAACCTCGAATTTTAAAAATTAAAAACATATTTAACAGTAGCACGACACCTGCCCGCTCTGCCGCGCTCCCACAACTGCCAAAGGCGGCCCGAACATGGGGACGTGAACCTAAGTAGCTAGCTAGCTAGCTCGTGTACCCCTCTAGTTAATTTGATTTTGCGTGTACCAGATGTAAGATAACAAATCTCCAGCAATAGTTGGTGTTATAGCTGGCTATAGCTATTTTAAACAGTATCAATATTTGTACTGGTCGTGTGAAAGGATCAAATACCGCGACCAAGAGGGAATTGATTGGGCTAATCGAAAATTCTCGCAAAATTTTAAACCTAACACTTAGCTAAACTCACTCACGTGTCTAAAGATGTGTTGTAGTCTAATTGCACAAAAGTATTACATGCTAAGTTCTAACTTCATACTAACACCACAATAATTATAAGAAAGTTTAGCATTCGATGAGATCTACATCTTTCTAGTTTTGATTTTTTATTTGAAGTTATTTAGGAAAAATATTTTAAAAAAAATCCAAACATCTTCAAAATAAAATACACAAAAGTAGAATGTTGTATATCTCATCGAGCACTACAACCTTCTTATAAAAGAAGAATCTTTATGCGACATCATACATGAAAGATATGATTTTCTAAGTGTCTTAATGATCTCAAATGACAAAACTCAATGGTATAAAGCTGTAGGTCTCATCTAGGGCTACAATTTTCATGCACAAAGTACCTTTATCCGACATTATACAAGAAAGATATGATTTTTAAGGCGGCAAGACTTGGTACACGATTAATATGATATTGGAACTTTATTTTATTTGAGCATCTTACTGATCTCAAATGAAAAAACGCAAAAACTAGAAAGTTGTAGGTCTCATCGGGGACCACAATTTTGATATAAAAATCATATTGATCCGAGGTCGTACGAAAAAGATTGGATTTTTCTAAGGTGGAGCCTTTGCCGCTGACATATGAGTCCCATCTATCAATCAGATCCATGTAAGCGTTGAATCAACATGCTACGTAGGAGTAGGTCAGGTACACACTCATATGAAGCTGGATTAAACAGCTGACAAAGTATATATTCTGGATCTTTGGGGACCTAGACGACATCTCTAGACAACTTTGCAGATGACTGATAAATTTTACTCGTCATTTTATATGAGGAATTCAAACTGTTCTTCATAAACAATTCATTGCCTGTAACCACATTTAATTTCACATTTTTATTGTTAAGATAAGACTATATTTTTAATTGTCACAATATAATTGAAAAAGCAATTACATGCATCAGCAAAGAAAAAAACATATATAGAAAAGGAAATAATACAAATTAGCCAAATCAACATGAGCTTTAGCTAGGTGTCCTGTTGCCTGTTGTCTGGTTAGCCGCTAGCCTTTTTCCTTTTTTTTTTAGTGGAGCACTGTCTTTATTTATTCAACCAGGCCAATAGCCTTTTCCTGCGTGTAGCACATCACATTGTTCAGCTGCTTGGGCCAACACAACGAAGCAGTGTATAGAAACAAGCCACAGTGTACAGACGAAGCAGCAGAAAACAGCATCGTAGCAGCGCAGGTCGCGCAATTAATCCCACCTCTCCAAGCCACGAAGCATTGCTACACCGCTTGTATAAAGTAAAACGAGGGGACAGGACAGTAACTCCACAGTTGGCAACGCCTCATGCCCTGATAGGTGTTGAGCGTTCAGTGCTAAGGCTCGTTTGTTGCTTATTATATAACAAAAGAAGGTAATAATTAAGTGTCTGTATGGAATGTATGACAGGCATAGAATGTCTGTAATAATAAATAAAGTAATAATTAAGTGCGTGTTTAGTGTTTCGTGTTTGGTGTGGTTCCAGCTTATGGAACGTATGACCGGCATAGAATGTTGTTAACAAAAAATGAAAGTAATAAAACTCATGGAACGTATGACAAGCATAGAATAGAAAGTAATAATTAAGTTCCTATTTGGTGTGGTTCCGGCTCAAGTAGTGCTTCTGGCATGGAACAGGTGAGGAGGCGTGATCCTGGCATGGAATGGGTGACGAGGAGCCGTTTTGTTGTATGGTAGGCGGACCGGCTCAAGTGTCTATTTGGTGCGGTCTGCACCAAACTGTAGGCAGGAAGAGAATTCTAGCAAGGAGTGTATGGCTGGCATGGAATGTTGCTAATAATGAAATAAATTAATAATTACGTGCCTGTCTGGCGGGGTGGTTCCGGCTCAAGGAGCGCTGCCTGGCATGGAATGGGTAAGGAGTGCTTTCTGGCATGAAATATGTGAGGAGGAGCGCTCCTGCGTCGTGGCATGCAATGGGTGAGCTGGTGGAGTCATTTTCTCGAATGGTAAGTGGACCCACGATTTTGGTTTTCCGTACAAGTTTGGTGCAGACAGGAGCACTTCTGGCATGTAATAGGTGAGGAGGAGCGCTTCTAGCATGGAACGGTTGAGGAGCCAGGTTGACCGAAGATTTGAGGCTTCGGTAGAAGGGTTTTGGCTCTGGTATAGGAGCCACCTGGAACGGAGCCCCTCCAAGCAGCCTCTAAATAAAAGTGAAATAAATTTTTAATTGGATCTTACTTAGGATAGTAGTTGGATATATTGACAAAAAAATTCGGATATTAGGGATAAGTATCCAAATTCGTATTTGATATCTGAGAGAATTTGTGGATATCTAAAAAAATGTCTAAATTGCTATTTGTGGGCTAGTAAAATACCCATACTAGGCAATCCCGTGTTAGGGGCTACCCCACCATCGTGCGCTAAGGGCTGGCAAGCCTGCAACAGGGACTGCCCCTTCAGTGGCCAACGAGTACCAAGGGCTAGTGAGCCGGTGCCAAGAGCCCGCCCCACCTACTAGTCATGTACTGAGCGAGTGCCGTGTGCCTAGGGCCGGCAAGCCCATGTCATGGACCTCCGACCGAGCTGCTGCTAAGCGCAGAGGTTTGGTGTGCCCACGCCACTGATGGCGTGCTGCTGCTGCCGCTCGGAGGTGCTCTATATGCATCAGGAGGGGGAGACCAAGAAAGAGGGGGAAGAGAGGATAAGACAGAGCTCGGGAGACAGAGCGGGGGAGGATAAGCCTACAGAGAGAAATAGGTTCAGGCGTGAGCAAACTTTCTTAAATACGGATAATTTTCACTATGGGTTCTTAACATTTTCACTCAGCGGTGTTTGAATACCTTCTCCTAAACTACCCTGTCACATCGGATGTTTAAACCAAGAGAGGTTTTCCCTACTGATTCTTAACATGTTCACTTGGCGGTGAAAATTCGGATAATTTTCACCGCCGGTTTGTACAACGAACAGGTGGTAAAAATCATCGCCAAAAGTTTTCATAAAACCGGTGGTGAAACTGCCACTGTCAAGAAATACAAAAATCACAATAGAACACCATATTAAACTTTACTACGACTACGATACTACATATTTAACCTGTAATGAGATGTAAAGTTTGCTCAAACACACGACGTACAGCACCTCCTCTTCTCGGCTATGTAGTTTTTTCACAAAAAATGTTGGTACCCCAAATAAAAGTTCAACACTTCTAAGAGAAATATAAAATATTCTGTGAACACTTGTCGAGTCAAAAAAATCGATATGTAACATGTTCCATTCCAAGTAAAATTCGAATATCTCGTCGCAGCCTCTTCTCTTTCGCCGCAGACAACATGACGACGAATAACTTCATGTATTTCTGTAGTATATACAGTTCTAGTAGGTCGTAATATAGTACCATGACTTACTAACTTATAGTAAGTAAGAGAAAACTGTTGACTTACTGAAGAGCACCGAGAAAGGAGTTCATGGCCATGGCCACGCCTAGATGTCGTCGCCGGGACCGGGAGCGACGAGCGGGGCACGGCAGAGCGGGCAGGTGTCGTGACCGCGCAGCCACTCGTTCACGCAGGCGGCGTGGAAGAAGTGCATGCACGCCGGCAGCACCCTGATGGCCTCGCCGTCGGCCAGCTCCGCCAGACACACCCCGCACGAGTCCTCCCCGCAGCCGTCCTCCTTCCTGTACGTGCACACCAGCGGCGGCTCGGCCGCCTGAACCGGCGGCACCTCCACGGCGGCCATCATCGAAGGATCCCTGTCCGCCAAGCCTGCTGCTTGGCTGCTCGGCGGACCCACTCTGTCCCCGCCTCCGGCGACCTGCTCCACCGCGTCGTCCTTCCGGAGGCCACAGCAGAGGATCCTGAGCAGCACGACAACGCCAGTGATGGCAACGAACACTATGGGCATCACATTGTCGTTAGCGTCGCCGGGCTCGCCGGAATTCTGGCTGTAGTACGCCTGGCCGTACGCACTGCCGTGCTGCGAGGACGGCAGGTGGTCCTTGCTTCCACCGGCGGCATTGTTCGTGGTTGTGGCCATGGAATGTTCCATCATCGGTTTTGTAGGTGGCTTATGAGTTGACTGCGAGAACAAGGAGCTAGTCGTCGTCTTTTTGTAGGTGTAGCTGGGGTTGACGGCTGTTGCGAGGATTGTTTCTTTGTGGCCATCGATGGATGGATCCATTGCCATGACATGATGATGATGATGATGATGATGGCGATGGCGTGCGTTACTGCGTACGTCTTCATAGAAGAAATTCCCGGGAAGGATCTGTACGATTTGTCGTCACTATATATAATTCGTTCAAGACAGTACTTGTGTACATATATATTTATCACCACCGTTTTCACTAGAAACCATAGATTCAAGTTTGAACACTTATTTTGGATTTGTTATGAAATGAAATCGTGTGACATGATTACACCTATAAACTATACTGTCATGATTACACCATTGCAAATAATAGGCAAATACGAAAATCTGTACCTGCGATAGATTACATGGCGCTATTACGAGAGATCTCTTGTAGCACAGTTTACAAACCACCAAGACAGTGGTAGACAACTCAAAACAAACCGGAACAATAAGAGAAAGCAGGGGTAGGAGACCCTCATCCACGACACCTAACAAACATATTGAGCTTGTGAAATAAAAAGGCATCGACACTAAAACCATGGTGGCAAAGCATTCACCTGAAAAAGACAAAGAAACTATTAAAACTGGTTTGATTGGTTAGAAATAGTTCAGGGTTCACAATGCAAAATTGTTTAGGAAACTGAGATTGTTGGAGAAGGACAAAATCTAAGGTTTGCTATTCCTTCCGTTAATCTATTAGGTTAGCAAGTAAACTATACTAAACTTCTGGAGATGCCCTTATGAGTTGAAAGGGATATTTGGCAAATTTATTATTTTTATTAAGGAGCTCTTTTAACAAAATGCTGGAGGACATTTTTTCCTTTTTGCTATAATAGCAAAATAGGGAGTTGTTTTACAAAACTCTTGAAGATGCTCTAAAATTGCTTCTTGCAATCAAAATCGATAGGGCATGGTTAGCGCCCAGACGTCTGGCCGCTAGCCCCCGTCCAGACGCCCGCGCCTATCATGCCTGCTGCGCATGCTGCTGCTACCTGCTCCACCTACTGCACGCGCTTGCATATGCCTGCTGCTGCTACATGCCTACCAATGCTGCCCTGCCTCTGGGATGGAACGGGCACGCTCCACGGGAAGGCTTTCGTGAAGTCACAGTGCTTTTGACGTGCACCACCAAGCCAAATAAAGCAGTTTGGCTATTACAGAGACCATGCATATATATCCAGCAAGTATAGGAGTAGTTGGCAGTATGCATGCTGCTGCCGCATGCTCCGCCTGCGGCCTGCTGCACGCACCTGTGCATGTGCCTACTGCTGCGCATGTCTACGTCTGTTGCTGCGCGCCTACGCAAACCTCCTTATGTTACGCATGCTGTTGCGCGCGCCTATGTAAGCCTATTGTCGCTACGCATGTTGGTGCACATGCACGTGGGGACCATCTCCGCCTGCGCTCGTTTCTCGTGCTTGCCAATGAAAACACTTGAAACAGGAAGCCCTTGCTGCAACATACGTTTGAAACATATGAAACATTTGGGACATACTCATGTAATATATGTGTATAGCCACCGCAATATATGCAACATCTTGATAAAACACTTGCAACATACTTATGAAACAGCTGAAACATTTGAAACATACACTTGCAAACTATGTGTATAGCACTATAATATATGCAATATCCAGATGAAACATGCAACATCCTGATAAAATAGCTAAAACATTTGGAAGATACACTTGCAACATTCGTGTATAGCCATTTGCAACATCCAGATGAAACAAATGCAGCATCCAGATGAAACATATGAAATATACAAATGGAACGCATACGCCGGCGCCAAGCTCGATGCCCACGGTCACCCATCACGAGAGCAGCAAATGACACATGCAGATGCGGACACCAGGCTCCTCTCACGAACTCTCAGCGCCGGTCATTCTCCCTTGTCACTGCACATGTACAGGCCCCACACGCCGTATGGCACAACTGCATTTGCATATGCACAACATTGTTAGCACAGAACATGAAGACTAACGCGGGTGGACCTCTTTGCTGTGCTCCTAGCCGAGAATATTATATGCTTTGGATGCTTGCTCACGCGTCTCAGTACTCTACACCCCACATCGAGAAGAGTGGTGACACGCGCTCCCGCGTTTTGACCCACCAAAAGGACACGAGCGGGTCGTGTGACTGCAATACGCGCCCCTATTTTTTTCTTGGTCATCACGCCATGCGGACAGGTTCATCCGTCCGTCCGGACGCCCTCAACCAAGCGTTTCCGAAATCGATATATGGAACAGCTTTCATTCTCAAGCTGAAAATTTCGAATTAACCGTCTGCTAACTTTTTGCCGTGTACATGACCATTTCCTAAATGTACGTATTAAGAGAAATGTGTTGAGCAGCTGGAAGCAGGCATGCATGCATGCACGGAGATGATTACCACCACGGCACCACAGGCCTAGGTGGCGTCGTCGGCGGGAGCGTCGAGCGTGGCGCGGCAGAGCGGGCAGGTGGCGTGCGCGCGCAGCCACTCGCCGATGCAGGCGGCGTGGAAGTTGTGCATGCACGCCGGCAGCACCCTGACGGCCACGCCGTCCTGGAGGTCTGCCAGGCACACCCCGCACGAGCCCTCCCGCCACCCGTCCGCCATCCTGTACGTGCACACCAGCGGTGGCTCGGCCGCCCGCACCGGTGGCACCATCGTCTCCACGTCCGCGCCGGCTACCATCGATGCCGGTGCCCTGTCGATGACGACCCAGCCGCCGCCGGCTTCGCTGCTCTCCAGTTGCTGCGGCTGCTGGCCCACTCTGTCCCCACCACCTCCGGCCGCCTCCTGATCCTCCGGGTCCGTCCGGCAGTCGTAGTAGAGGAACCTGAGCAGCAAGATGATGGCCACGACGGCAACCAACATTATGAGGAACATATTCTGGTTCCCGTGGTGCTCCTGGCCGGAATTCTGGCTGTAGTAGTACAACGCCTGGCGGTACGGACGACCGACCTGCAACTACGACAGGTGGTCCTTTGATTATTATCACCGTGTTCAGTAACCTTATTATGACTGAGTTAAATACTGGATCAAGGTTTCTTTTTTGTAGGGGGCTGGGGTTGACGACAGTTGCGAGGATTGTGTGCCGTTGTGGCCATCGATGTATCCATGGCGGCCATGGGGTGGTGACATCACGATGATGATGGCAATCTGTGTACGAACCATGTATGTACGTCATGATCACTGGATCTATAGCCCGCTATTTAAAACCATGTACCCACGTCATTATTGAAATTCCTGGGAAATGATGCCACCGATGCGTTACTATAATTGGTTAAAGACTGTACTTACACAAACCGTGCAGTCAAGTTTGACCATTACGGCACAATTGCAAACACGTTCACAACTACTACCAATATACAATCTTTATTGTTACTTCTCTGATCTGTCACTGTAAAGCAGTGATAATTAAATAAAGGTTGCCTCGAAGAAAAAAGTATCACACTGTGTTAAAAATAAAAAGGTGACAATCTATTGTCCTACTAATTACTAACATAGTGTTAAAGTAACACTACCAGTACCCAAGATTTTTTCATTAATAACAAGCCGATACAACAATCCAACTAGACCCCTCTTAGAGATAGAGTTTGACGATTACAGTGAGAAAATGGGTGCACGAGGGCTTTGAGTTTCTGAGCTTAAAAACAACGTGGTAGTGGTGCCATCGCACGTACCCTTGTAAGGCCGGTCCCCATGAGAGTTTCATTGCTATTTTATCAGGTGGCATATCAATAAAAATGATGTCATGGAATATGAATTATGAGGTTAATCTCAACTGAGAGTTTCGTGGCGTTGTTTACAAGTCTTTCACATAATATAAATGAAATGAACCATATATAGATAAAACATCTGTCATTTATGCATAGTTTTATTTTGTAGTTTTGTAGGCATTTAATTCACGATCAGGATCCTAGCTGCACTAGTTAGGTGGCTCTAGTAGCACTCATTAGGTCCTGGATTCGACTTCCCGTGGGAGGGACGGCCAGGATGAAGGTTACAAAAAAATTTCTCGTCTGTCTCACGCCAAAGCACAGGTCTAAGGTGAAAAACCGAGCAAGATGACCAGAAAGGGGTGAATGGGAGCCTAATTCAATTTTCTTTCAATTTCGGCCACTACACCAACACGGCCAAATGCAACCAAGCGCTCAAAGAACGGTTTGGTTAGTTAAAAATAGTTCGGGGTTCCCAATGCAAGATTGTTTAGGGAACTATTATAGGACATTGATGGAGAAGGACAAAAATTTATGGTTGCTATTTCTTCTATTAACTCGCTAGATCTATTAGTTTAGCAAGCAAGCTATACTAAACTTCTTCTTTTTTGAAACTAACTATACTAAACTTCTGAAGATGCTCTTACGAGTTGAAGAGGATACCAAACTTTATATTTTTATTAAGAATCTCAATTTTTCTAAAGAAATTGATGGAATTCCTACAAAGCCGAAATCGATATGGAACAGTTTCCGTTCTGAAGGTGGAAATATCGAATGTATGTACCGTCTGCTAAGTTTTGCCGTATACATGACCAATTCCTAAATGTACGTATTAAGAGAAATGATGAGCTGTATAGCCTGGAAGCATGCATGCAAGGAGTTGATTACCACCACGGCACCACAGGCCTCTAGGTGGTGTCGTCGGCGGGAGCGACGAGCGGTGCGCGGCAGAGCGGGCAGGTGGCGTGCGCGCACAGCCACTCACCGACGCAGGCTGCGTGGAAGTAGTGCATGCACGCCGGCAGCACCCTGACGGCGTCGCCGTCGGCGAGGTCCGCCAGGCACACCCCGCACGAGCCCTCCCGCCACCCGTCCGCCTTCCGGTACGTGCACACCAGCGGTGGCTCGGCCGCCCGCACTGGCGGCGCCATCTCCACAGCGGCCGCGCCAGCCACCGTCGATGACGGTGCCCTGTCGACCCAGCCGTCGCCGGCTTCGTTGCTCTGCAGCTGACGCATAGTAGTGTCGTCGTCCCCACCTCCGGTGGCCGCCTCCTGCTCCTCCGTGTCCGTCCGGAGGACTCTGCTGCAAAGGACCCAGATGACGACGGCAAACACTATGGGCGGCACTAACTTATTGCCATCCACGTCGTCCGTCTTGCCGAAATCCTGCTGGCTCGAGTAGTACGTGTGCCGGTACGGACTGCCGTCCTGCGACGATGACAGGTGATTGTGGCTTGCACCACCATATATTGAGCTCGCTGGTTGGTTTTAGCCAGGCTTATTCAATCAGCAACAGTGTTTTTCACTCATAAAAAAACCAGCACCAGCATCAACCAGCGAACACGCTGATTCACTACGGCAGACGCGTGCTTTGCCGAGTGCTGCACTCGGCAAAGAGCTGTCGGCATATCCCTTCACGGCAAAGGCTTCTTTGTCGAGTGCCGCATGTCGGACACTCGTCAAAGGATTTTCCGAGTGCCACGACGGCACTCGGCAAAGATTTACACTCGGCAAAATGAAAATGCGAAAAAACCCAAAAATAATAGCAAAATTTTTCAAAAAAAAAAATCCGAGGGAGGCCGCCACCGGCCGATGCCCGCCCGTCTCCTTCGAAGTCGCTGCATTTTTTGCGCTAAATTCGCGGCTGACGCGGTCGGCAGGATTCGAACTCATGACCTCTCCCTCGCGAGTCTGCTGCTCTACCACTGCACTACAGTGTCTCTTGTGTCTAGATTCCGTTATCTATCCTCATATATTATACTAAATCGAGAGTAAATTGCTTGTTTGATGCCCTAAACGAATTCAAATCAAAAAGTGGTCAACTACAAAGTTTCATAACTTTTCGAGATCTACAATTTTCATTTAGAAAGTTTTTCGATCCGAGGTTTTTTAAAAAATTCGAATTTCAAATTTGAGATTCAAACGTAGTTTTGCATGATAAGATGATTTCAAATCAAAAAGTTGTCAACTACATAGTTTCATAACTTTTGGAGATCTACAATTTTCATTTAGGAAGTTTTTTCATCCGAGGTCTTTTGAAAAATTCAAATTTTCAAATTTTCAAATTCAAACGTCATTTTTGCATGACAAGATGATTTTAAATCAAAATGTTGCCAACTACAAAATTTCATAACTTCTCAAGATCTACAAAGTTTATTTTAGTCATTTGTTTATCCTACATAGTGGTAGTAACATTGTTCACAAATCTTATATATGTCTCTTCTATTTTCATGAAACTAATATGAGAGATATGAGAGATGTAGATTTTATGAACAACGTTATTGTCGTTTTGTCAAATGAAGAAATAACCAAAATAAACTTTGTAGATCTTGAGAAGTTATACAACTTTATAGTTGAAAAGTTTTTCATTTGAATTCATTTAGGGCCTCAAAAATAGCTTTGAAAAACTGATTTGCCGAGGGCCAAAAAAAATGCACACGGCAAAATGCCTCTTTGCCGAGTGCCAAAACAAAGGCACTCGGCAAAATACATCTTTGCCGAGTGCCAGAAAAAGGCACTCGGCAAAGACGCATTTTGCCGTGTGCCGAAAAATAGCACTCGGCAAAATACATCTTTGCCGAGTGCCAGTAATTTGACACTCGGCAAAGACGGCCTTTGCCGAGTGCGGCACTCGGCAAACTGTCTCTTTGCCGAGTGCCCTTGCTTCGACACTCAGCAAAGCGCCGAGCACTCGGCAAAGAGCGCGTCTCCCGTAGTGATTGTTTGTGTTCGTGGCCATGGAATTCTGAGTTGACAACAAGTACGAGACCATGGTTAGACCATGGAGTCATCGTCTCTTTTTGTTGGTGGCTGGGGCTGACGAGAGTTGCGAGGATTGTGTCTTTGTACCCACCGACGGATCCATGGCTAAGGGCAATGGCATCACCCTGACAATGGCAAATCTGTGTATGTACGTCGTTCTCAAAGAAATTTCCGGGAAATGATCTCTCCAATTTGTTAGTATCCGTTGAAGTCAGTACTGACATGCATGGATGTATAGTTGTATACTTGTCACCTACGATCCGTTTTCACTAGAATCCTTGCAGTCAAGTTTGAACACTCATAATAGATTTGTTAATAAGCAAAATCGGGTCAGTAGAGACACCATTGCAAACACATTAATAAATTAATACTTCATCATTTTTAAATTATAAGATGTTTTGGCTTTTCTAGATACATTGCTTCAACTATGTATCTATACAGTGTCTATCTAAGTGCATAGTAAGAACTATGTATCTAGAAAACAAAAACGTCTTAAAATTTGAAATGGAAGGAGTACTAAAATCTTTCCGTTCCAAATTATAAGTCGCTCTGACTTTTTTGGTACATAGATTTTTCAATGTATCTAGACATATGTTATATCTATATACATAGCAAAATTAATGTACCAAAAAAGTTAAGTGACTTATAATTTGGAACAGATGGAATATATCTCATTGTAAATTGATATAAAAATTAAAGAGTACCAGTTCCCTGGAAGAAAGAAGCAAGTGTCGTATTGTTTTAAAAAAGAAGAGAATCTATATGTAACAATCCAATGTTTACAGAGGCAGCCTGTTTAAGATGCGCGCCTCTGAAAATCCATTTTCAGAGGCCGGTATATTTTTTAAGTGTCTTTTAAATTATTGTATCTCCTAAAATTTCTTACAGAGACAGGCAAAAAAAAAAGTACCACCTCTGAAATAAAAATGACCGTTTTTATAGTAGTTTATGTATATTTTGGTTTCCTCTGTTTTAGGTTACATGATGGAGAAGATGGTATTGACCAGAGTTAATTTGGTTAGATACTTCTTGGGACAGAATTAAGAACAAAAAACCAGTTTCTGGGTTCGGTCTCGATTAGATCCATTTGGTTCCTCATATTTGGTTAACTATGCCCACCCCTAGCGCCAGGTCCTCATAGTGATGATGGGCTTGATGGCGGCTGTTAGGTACATCACCTAGCTAGCATATTTGCATTGAATAGCGAGACTGCGAGAAAGGCAATGTAAAGGAGGCGAAGTGCAAAGGTGGCCATGGAGATTAGCAGCGCACGCTTGAGGATGGTCTCATGCGTTGTGCCAATAGAGACGGTGGAAGTAGCTGGTTCTTCGAAGGAGAATGATGGGTCACGGTGAGGCAGGTGCGGCGGAGGGGCATTGGTAGAGGCACATCATTGGATGAGAGGGAAGGGAGACTAAGTTTTATATTTAGGGTTTGTTACATGGGTTTGGGCCTGCGGACCTCTTTAGAGAGCCACCTCTAAAAATAGCCTTATTTTTTAGAGCTTGTTCTCTTAAGAGGCCCACCACTATAAATTGTTTGCCCATTTGCGCACTAGATGATTTCTAGAGGTGGTCCTCCATAAATGATCAATAGACCCACCTCTATAAATGAAATACGGTGTCCCTTGAAATTATTTTTTCAGTATTGTAAGCTACAATATGGGTCTCAACGGCTATAAATGACCATATTGTCGAGTCAAAAGGGAAAGACCAACACATTTGGTTGTATCAACATAAATGGGTGATTTTAAATTAAACATTCATATCAGAAATTACATTGAGATTAGGTAAAGATCTATATTGTTGATTGTTATGGTCATCCACTGGTCCATATTAATCCCAAATATAGATACTAAATTAGGACAAAGCAATATCATTGATTGTTAACAATCTAATGCACAAGGTCACTTCAAAGCTTTTTCTTATATATACAACTAAAAGAAAAGAAGAAATATCTATACTTTTTTTATGATAGTCTAAAGGTCCAGATTATTTGGAAGGCGTCATATCAAATATTGCCTATTATTTATTTATCCATCTAATATCTTAACGTTTTGTCAGAGTGCTATAAAATACATCTTTATAAACTAAAAGGAACAACTAATAAATTTAGTACTATATTAATCATTGAAACAGAAGGTGTCAGGCATCCATGTTTTTTTTTGCGATGAAAGAAGAATTATATTAGATAATAGCTGGGTACATCAACATGTTACAAGCACTTTGGATTACACAAATATCCAGAAATTGGTTTTCATCTAAATTGTACCCACGCTGTGAATAGCTCCAGATCTCAAAACCAAACTTGTACGACGCTTTGCAGTATGGATGACCGTACAGGCAAACACTCGGCAAAAGGCCTGAGAACAGATATGCAACGAACGACAGCCAACATCTTCATCATTCTTTCTGGTGTCTTCCTCCTTTCGGCCCCCGAAGAATGAGGAAGACTGATTTGAAACTTATTCTCCCTACCCCTTCATCGTGACCAGATCTAACCACAATAAAACGAAGAAGAGATCGGAGAAAATTATTTCATGGCGGCAACACCATCTCCGCCTTGACGTCGCCGTTCGGAAATAGAAGTCTCCATGTCGTCAAACCGATGAGGATGTTGATGTCATAGTTGTCGCCCTCATCTTCAATAGATCCGCTATGGAGAAAACGATTCCACCCTACCCTTTTGCCGTCGCCGGAGATGAGGAGAAGGAAATAAATCCTGAAAACCAAGAAACTTGGCATGGATAGATCCTAACCCTAAAGACTCGATCTATTGGGAAAATTTATTACAAACGATGGATCCCGACCTCCGGCGATATGCCGGAGGAGGGAGGGAGGGGGACCAGCGGTGGTGGAGGCGGCGGCGGTGGCGGCAGCGGCGCTCGACTCGAGTCGCGAGACCCAGTTTGGGTCAGGGGTCGCAGAGGTGATGGTCACGTAGGAGTAGGAGGATTTCAGGCATCCAAGTTGTAACAATAAAGATTCATTTTATAGTAGATTGAAAAAATACAAGTACAGGTACAACTTATAATATTGAAATGTATCAAGTACAATATCCTCAATAATATTTGAATCAAAATTCCAATTGAAGTACAAAACGGAAGTGAATTTGAGGGAAAAGAAAGACACCGTTCTCAACAAAACGGGAAAGGAAAGTGACTGATG